TRTRAGGTTTTCTTGWWGCCATTTTAAAAAAGGAAACCTTAAACCGTATTGAATATCGAGATTTCCCAGCTCGTATTGATGGCAGCTTTGCTAGCGAACAAGTAAGTTGGTGACAATTTAGGACTTTTCTGCTCAAAATGCTCAGAAAGGTGCCTCAAAGCATTGTTTAAGATTATATTTCAGTCTTTTTCTTCAAGGGATCCATAGATCAGGTATTTTTTTATATTCTGACAAAATACAATYATCACACATTTTTCCAACAATGCACCTGTTATGTCTCGACGCTACCTTCTGACCTAATCTTTGATGTGACRTGTCACATTCGTGTTCCAGTTAAGGCTCATTTGCAGGTTGAGCTTTAATAATTCACTCTGAAAGAAAGGGGCTTTGCAGTTAAACCTGCTGGTAATTGTCAAAGGCCACGAGGAGTCCAAAACACCAGGTGTGTTTATCATTCAGCACTCTGTGGGCTAAAATCCTACTGGATGTTTTTCTGGTAACTCAGCAACAAGCTGCCAGAGAGTCAATAAATGTAGCTGCCAGAGTGTGGGCTCTCACTGTTGTTTGATCTGGGTTGTTTGTTTTTTAAAACCTGAGCACATTTCGTTTCAACTGTACAGCGTATATTCTTTCATCGTTGTTTCATCATCATTATCAGACGTAGATGGAGTCCACACATTTGTACTCGGTCATGTTTGTTTTCAGACCTCCTCACCCTTCGTTCTCGGTGTCTTGTTTCCGTTTCAAAGGCACAGACTCAGCCCGTTCCCGGTCAGTTCGCAGCGGCGCCTCCACCCCGGGCTCAGCCGTGACGCCCGGCACGCCCCCCAGCTACTCCTGCCGCACCCCAGGCTCGCGCACTCCCGGCAGCCACACGCCCAAGTCCTTCAGCGTCCTCCAGGAGAAGAAGGTGGCGGTGATCCGAACCCCACCCAAGTCGCCATCCTCCGCCCAGCGSCAGCTGAAGGTCATCAACCAACCCCTGCCTGACCTGAAGAATGTCAAGTCCAAGATCGGGTCCACCTCCAACCTCAAACACCAGCCGAAAGGAGGACAGGTAACAGGAACATGCAGCTGGAGAGCGATTTAGGTATTCTGACAGGAAGTCTTTATCCATTGGTTGTAGTTACATCTGATAGTGGAGGGCTTTGTTGGACATTGACACCAGGTAGTTCTAGATTTTAGTTGGAATTGTTCTGAGAAARGCAGATTTTTTTGTGTTCCTGGAGTCTTTTCAGCATAATTTAGCTGGTGCGTCTAAATCATGTGTGTGATCAATCTGGGTKTAAAWACCAGCCTATCTTTAAGCCACCATKGTTCACAAATACACCAGTCGAGTCTGCAGCTATGTGTGCCTGTACTAATTAAGCAGTGCACATATACTGGGTGACACCAGTGGCACTGGTGAGACAAAAGCTGCAGTCACTGCCCCCAACATGTCTTACCTACTCACCAACTTGGGTCTGTGACTACCACCCATGCTGGCTCTAAGGCGTTAAGCTCTGRGTCACCTTTAAACCCTGCCCCCATGTGACCTCAGTTGGTAAAGAAATCACACCAAGGTGAGGAAAAGGTATCTCAGGTGCAGCTAGGAAGTGTACTTTTTAGTTTCAAGAATTGTCTTGAACTCCTGAGCAAACTTAGTCTCCCAGGGGTCTCAGTAGTGTGATTGAAATGGAGAGAAAAAAGTGTAAATTTTATGTATTTATTTGATCACATACTGGTCGACTTTTTAGAAGATATTTTCCAGAAATTCACAGCTATACCTGCTCCTGCCACATGAGGGCAGTAAATGACAAACTTGTGTTCCATTTTTAATGCAAATTATACTAAAATTATGTACTGTTTTTGATAAATTTAAATATATAATTTGACTTTGTAACAGCATAATTCATTATATACAGATATACTTTTTTYTCAGGCTTATCCAAAAAATGAACCCTTACTCTCATATTTTCCCTTTCAGAAGTAGAAATGTGATAAAATACTGACATATCTTTCTCAATATTTTCACTCTCAATCACTTTCTTAGCCGCCTCTGTGCTCCTGCTTTGTGTCTCTGTGCGTCTGCTTCCTCTGCTCTGTCTGCTGCCATCTGAGTCAGTCTGAATGAAGAACGGTGTCCCCCACACAGTCTCTCCTCCTCCCCTCTCCCTTCCTCTTCCCCAATATTTCTGCCTCGCCGAAGCCGGATCAACTGTACTGCTGACATGTTTCTAAATATAGCAAGATTTTAAAAAAAGGGAAGAAAAAGTACCAACCATCCATCCAAGAACATCCCTCATTTTTTTTTTATTGGCTCCAAGGAACGAAGCAGAATTGTTTTCCCCTGGGAGCCACTTTTTCGTCGTTTCTGCTCCAGCGTTCAGTATTTATAAAATAACCAGCAGTGACTCGCTGAGAGAACATAAAAAGACCTCACTTAACATCCTCTTCTACATTTTGTAGCAATTACCCCCCAAAACAGCTGCTTTTTAGTGTTTTCCCCAAAGCAGTCTTTTTATTGCAGAGATAAAAACAGTTGGCCGGGCTATTAGGGACGCAATTTTTAGATTAATTCTCCTCATATAAAGTCATGTCTGCCCCACATAAAAGTAAAAAATGAGTGTCATAAAAATGAGGATAAAATCCCTCCTCTTATCTTTGTCCTGTTAGATGTATGTCTGATAGACGTGATTTCCTAATTGTATTACAGATGTTCCTACCGTCCAGCAGAGAGGCACCTTTTTATTCATTTTTTGTGATGGATGAGAGGAGGGCCAGAGAACAAAGGCGATGATGAGGATGTCTACATGCATCTGTTAGCAAAATACCTCATGAACCAGTGAGGAATTTCTCATTCTCAAAAAGGAATAAAATAGATGTTCAAATACAACCTATTCAATTTTAGAGGCAGCGCAACTCAAATGGCCTCAACAGCCAGTTAACCCCTAATAAAACACACAACTGGCTATAGAACGGACAGTTTTACAAATACTGAGCTAAAGTTTAGTGTGGTAGAAGCTGAGAGTCGTCTCCAACACATACTTAACTGATGGCTCAAGATTTTTGTTTTCAGAACGTAATCATTAAATCTACAGCTGAGTAACATTTCAGGAGGCTGTCACAACTTAGCTCAGAAAACACACAAATGTCTACAACTCAGTCAGATATTCAGCTAAAGTTTTGTGTGGTCGGAGCTGAGAGTAACCCACAACTCATTTATTTTTCATAACTGCATCAWCTCAAGGATAAACTTAATTTAAACAGTCCTGTAACACCAGCAGGTTTTATGCAATTTTATCATGTAGGGTTTCCCCCAGAAAACTTGGCAAATTAGGTTTGTAATACAGGGGCCGGGGGTCATCTGTTGCTAAGCTAGGTCCATGTCATTTATCATTTTAAGTAGGGGTGTCGTATCTGTATCGGGTCCGATACCAGCATCAAGTACTCATACTCGTACTCGTAAAAGCCGGCCGATACTCTTAACCGATACCGCTTTTGTCTCCTCCTGTGCTGCGCTGCAGCACAAAGGGTAAACAACAATCCATACCAGGCGGKGGCGCTAACGCACTGACAAGTTATTTCCGACCGCACCYCCGAATAACAGAAGAAGAACGATGACGGTAAAAGAAGAAGTAACATGTCGGCAGTTTGGAGATATTTTAAGATCGGCACGGAGGACACCAAACAAGCAGACTGTCTGCTGTGCTCTGCTAACTGTCARGRGGAGGAGAGAAAGTTGGATGTTTTAACASCAGCAATTTGATTAAACRTTTGAGGACAAGACATGACAAAGAATTCAAAGAGTTTGCTGCTGCTAGCAGTAGACTTCATAAACAGCACTATGCTGCAGTTGTTGCAGTAACTTCAATGCTGTTTTTTTCTTTCTTGTAGAACAAACTAAGACATAAGCAGAATATGGAAGGAAGTTTGTTGTAAAAGCATTTTATTTTTCACTGTGGTTCTTCTGAGATTTTGTTTTAGTTGTTCCATTTAAGTTTGAACTGAAATTTACTGCACTTTATTACTATTAGTCATTTTTTTAAGTTTAAGACTGAAGCAGAGTAAACTTCTATAGATGTGCTGCTAAAATTTACGTTATAGGTAACATTTTAATTTAAATTTGGTAGTTGCATGTTGAGGAAAATGTAAAAAAATAACATTTTGTTTTTTAATGTATGCAACAGCATTTGTTTTGCAGTATTTGTATTGTTAATATATTCAGAGGGAGTGTGGCCTTATAAAAAAGAGCCTGTTTGAAATAAAATAAATGGTTTCAAAAGTTATGGTGTTTTATATATATACCAACTTATCTACTTGTCAGAGTTTGCACTACCTTTTTATTGTCAAACATAATAATTACCCAGCAATTTTTCTATGATAATTGCATTTCATTTTCATTGTTTAATATTCAACAAGTTGAACAGATAATCCACCCTAACCCCGCTACTTGGTATCGTATCGGTGAGTACCTAAACTGAAGTACTCGTACTTGTACTCAGTCTTGAAAAAACTGGTATCGGGACACCCCTACTTTTAAGGCAATCTCCGTTCCCTGTCTGAAAGTAACAGAACTTTCATCAGTGTGAGGGGGATTTGATGGGCAGGACGGGGGATTTTGTTGGGGCGCTTATCATGACAAGGGGGCAAGTAAAGCACGGTGGCTCGCTAGGCCCATAATACACTGGGGAAACACTGAATCACAAAATGCTATGCCTTTATTTACTTTATAAAGCATAAAAGAGATTTTCAAAACTTGTATTTGTTAAATATCATAAAAATATTAACTAAGTTACTTTAAAGTGCCTGTGACATGACATTTTTTAAATAAATATAAAAGCATTATTGGAAAGATAACATCAATCACATATTGCAAAAATAAATTCCCGCTGCTGATGTGAACAGTTATTGAGATATTTGCATTTGAAGTAACAGGAAGTGATGTCAAAAGGGAATGTCTGCATGGATTAGAGCAATGGTAAAATGGCTAAGGACACAGACTGTAGAATCTGATGTTTCTTTAGATTATTTTAAGTCACTATCAAAGAGAGATGAAGACAAGTCAGGTTTCAAATAATATAATTTCAATAAAGACTAGAGAGTTCTCTTTCTTAAATAGTTCCCCTTTGATGTCACTTCCTGTTTCACTTTGGGTGATCCAAGTACAAAAGAAAATATGCCATTTATGTGACCAAATGAGTAAAAATCACATTTTATGCAAGGTTTCTTATAAAAAAAATGTGCTTTCTTTGACTTTTTGTATTCGATGGATAGGAATGTCACAGGCACTTTAAGGTATACCAACAAAAACTATGCTTTTCAACACTTTCCGTAACTTAGGTCTTGTCTAAACTCCAGATAGTTTTATAAATACATATTTTTTTCCCTCTATTTAAAAATTATTACTTTCCACATCATTCTAAAAATTTAATTCTGAAATACCCACTCCAAAAACATTTGCTTTAACAACATAGCAAATACAGAGGGGAAAAAATACTGTTAGCTTGGCTAGATTTTTTTTAATAACAGTTTTCTTTCAATAAACCGTTTTAGCATCAATGTTTGGTAGAAACAGGGTCAGGGTAAAGTGATGCATGTAGGGAAAAAAATAACTGATAGAAACAGCTCCATTGTCATTTTGTTTCTAGGACACAGTGCTAAAATAAGCTTAAGCATGAAATAAGCTTTATAGAGTATCTACACCATAAACTACTGTGAAAACAGCAGGAAAGCATTTGGAGTAGTGCAAACGTTCTCCACACGCTTGTATAAACAAAGACGCAAGTAGCATTTTTTTCTTTGTTTCTTTATCGTTCCAATTGTATTTTAGGTTCAAATTTTAAGTGAGAAGCTGGACTTCAGTCATGTTGAAGCAAAGTGCGGCTCCAAGGATAATCTGAAGCACACGCCCAAAGGAGGCAATGTATGTAACTGTTTTCTCTTTCCTTTCTTTTCTATCGCTTTTAAGCTTTTAGCGCTCTGCCATGCTACTTTTATATGTCCATCTGTTTGTCTACCATCAAACTTGTTTCAATGAAACTGAAATCACTTCTAAGGCAGTGAAGAAGCACAGTCTTTCTTGGTTTTACTTCCACTTAAACAGGGTAAAAGATGTACAACTGGGACAGTGTTTTTTTTTTTTTTTGTAAATGGGTTAGTGGAGATCTTGTGTGCATTGAACTAACCAGTCCTCCTGTCCTCCCCAGGTCATGATCCCAAATGTTAAGCTGGACTTCAGCCACGTTCAGTCGAAATGTGGCTCCTTGGATAAAGTCCACTACACAGCAAGCGGGGGAAACGTAAGTGACTACCAGTGTTAGACGTTTATAACACTCACGGATGATGAATTTTGAAACATCTGCTATCTTTTATACGGTTCTTCTTCCCTGTAATGTTTGTAGCATCACTGCCTGCTCTCATGTTAACATCTCTCCAGGGAATAGTGGCTGAACATCAGTCAGCTCCTTCCTCCCTGTCCCTTATGTCTCATGGATGGCTCTCATTTCTCTGCTTCCCCCTTCGAAATGTTCTGTTTTTCTGGTACAAATGAATGTTTTGGCGCCTTATGCTTCCACTCTCAGATTCAAATCCAGACCAAGAAGATCGACTTGAGTCATATCACCGCCAAATGTAACTCCATGTCCAACATTCACCACAGACCAGGTAATGTACCATGCATTCGCTCCCTCAACAGCACAGCGTGTCGATTTGGTGGTCAAATGAAACGATGTATTAAACAAAATTAAGTTCGTTTATAAAACTCAAATTCACGACAAAAGTCATCTCACAGTGTCATATAGGAGGTAAAGCAAGTCTAAATCACATATCCAGATTCAAAGTGCCCAGTACCATGGTCACGGATTGAGGGTATTTACCAAAAGAATGAGATTTTAGATACAAGCAGTTGAAATGAGTTTTCTCTGCAGGGTAGCTGGACTCTCCCTTAGAGATAGAGTGATATGTTAGAAGATAGATACCCCCGAATGATACGTTAGAAGATAGATGCCCCTGAATGATACGTTAGAAGATAGATGCCCCTGAATGATATGTTAGAAGATAGATGCCCCCGAATGATACGTTAGAAGATAGATGCCCCCGAATGATACGTTAGAAGATAGATGCCCC